CATAATTTAAAAGTGCAACTGAATAAGTCATGAGTCTCTGAGTATTACATTGTGCTGTCACACATTTCTTTGGTTATTTCTCATATACTTTAAGATAACAAAAGAAGGGAAAAAAAAAGTAACAACAATAAGATCCTTTCCATTTCAAGACTGTCCCCCCATGCACGTCTAAAGTGATAAACAATGGTAGATAAGGAAAGATATTGAAAGGGATGGCAAGAAACCTGTTTTTTGTCTGGAGTAAATCCATCACATGGATGATTATAACGTTCAATTTGGTGTTTGCCAAATTATCCAACCCATTTATGTTACTGCTATGCTTTACCCAGGTTTGTTTGCCTTTAATTCAATCCCTTGGGGCACAAGACTTTTGCAGTAAAAATGCTACGCATCAAGTAACGTGTTTCTCACCCACACAAATAAAAATCTCACTTAGGGAACTTCCAACTTGAAAAAAATAAATTAGAGTACTTCTATTTGTCTCCGATGGGTTTCAGCCCCGTTATAATGTGTCGACTTTTAATAGACTAAGACGCTTTTTTTCTTAACTCCTTTTTTAAAAACCTGAGACCCACAAACACATGTCAACTTAAGAAGAGTAGGATTAAAAAAATGTGCAACTCACGTGTTATCACATTAGTTAGTGCATAAATGTTGGTGGATTAAGAAACAACCTTATTTCAAAAAAAAAAAAAAAAAAAAAAGAGGAAACAACAAACATAACTAGTCAACAAAAACAAAATAAATAAATAAAGAGGACCCTAAAATATTAGTAAAACCCACTTACTGTAAAAATACCTTTTACTTCATGCTCCCCACAAACATATACCAACTATGTATTCACAACACCACCCTCCCAATACAAAGGTAAAGGGAACTAACCCGGACTTAAGGAGGACATTTCGTCATACCCTTCTTATTTATCTATTAAGACTCCTACAAGATAAACGTAAAATTCAATTGCATAACCACTGATGTCTCATGATTAAATGTTAAGATTATTTTTATAATTGTCGTCTGAATTATGTACCGCATTTTTAAATGCTTTTTGACTTTTTTAAATAATTTAAAACACATCTTGATATACAAAAAAAAAAAAAAAAAGTCAAAATACCTCATCCGTTCACTTCCGTTTATAATGTTAATAGAATTGATGTTGTCGCATGGGTTTAAAGGTTTTGTTTTTTATTTGATAAATGAATATTAAAGGCTAATAAACAGTATTATAAATAAAAAAATGTATTAAATGAATAAAAAAAGAACTTAACAAAACCCATAACAAATCAGAGATTGTTTTTTAATCAAATGAAAACTCTAGAAACCCTCAAACAAAACTAGGAAATTAATAACACACTTCAAATCAAAATCCGTAGTTGTCGACGCTCTACCTTCCTATCGAGAACCCATCCTTGTTGAATCCATCCTTCTCACTCTCGACAGTGATCTTGGACCCATTGGTGGAAGCGGCGGCGTTGAGGAAGGTGTGGAGATGGAGTTAGGAGTGAGGGGGTTGGTTCGTTCATGTGACAGTGAAGGAAGGCGACGACAAGGCTTCGCTCACGATGGCGACAGGTGCTGGGCTGCTCACGCGACAGTGATGCTTGACTTGCGATTCGATGGGGATCTAGACATGAGGTTAAACGACCATAACTCTAGGGATTTCTGATCAGAGCTGACTCGTCCAAGATTTGTATTTTGTTTCCTTTTTCATGTTTCTGCTCTGTTTCCTCATTGAATCTAAATGTTAATGCCTATTTGATTTGCTGGACTTGGAAGTGTTACCGGGGACGGGCAAAAGTCTCATCTAAGCAAGATACCATGTGTTGTATAGTAAAATATGCGTTGCCACGTCAGAGACGGCCGACCCTTTCAAGGAGGAGAGGTCTCCAAATGGCCGACATTTCCAAGGAGGAGAGGCCTCCAGACGGCCGACACCTTCCAAGTAGAAGAGGCCTCCAAACAGCCGACACCTCCAAGAATGAGAGGCTTCCAAGAAGCATGTTCTTAAATTTGCCAAGAGCCTCAAAGGGCATCCGAACGGCCGATCCTTCCAAGGAGGAGAGGCCTCCAGAAGGCCGATCCTTCCAAGGAGGAGAGACCTCCAGACGACCGACTCTTCCAAGGAGGAGACGCCTCTAGACGGCCGACCCTTCAAGTAGGAGAGGCCTCCAAGAAGCAGATTCTTAAATCTGCCAAGAGCCCCAAGGGGCATCCATGAGATCGACCCCTCCAAGGAGGAGAGGCCTCCAGATGGCTGACCCTTCCAAGGAGGAGAGGCCTCCAGACGACCGATCCCTCTAAGGAAGAGGCCTCCAAGAAGCAGATTCTTAAATCTGCCAAGAGCCCCAAGGGGCATCCATGAGACTGATCCCTCCAAGGAGGAGATGCCTCCATGAAGAAGGTTCTTAAACCTGCCAAGAGCCCCAAGGGGCATCCATGAGGCCGATCCCTCTAAGGAGGAGAGACCTCCACGAAGAAGGTTCTTAAACCTGCCAAGAGCCCCAAGGGGCATCCATGAGGCCGACCCCTCCAAGGAGGAGAGGCCTCCATGAAGAAGGTACTTAAACCTGTCAAGAGCCCCAAGGTGCATCCATGAGGCCGACTTCTCCAAGGAGGAGAGGCCTCCATGAAGAAGATTTTTAAACTTGCCAAGAGCCCCAAGGGGCATCCATGAGGCCAACTCCTCTAAGGAGAAGAGGCCTCCATGAAGAAGATTCTTAAATCTGCCAAAAGCCCCAAGGGGCATCCGAACGGCCATCTCCTCAAAGGAGGAGAGGCCTCTAGACGGCCGACCCTTCCAAGGAGGAGATGCCTCATAGGAAGCCGACCGTATAAACATGGGTCTACATCTCCAGAAAGGCCCCTGAGTGGACAAAAGAGTTACGTCTAGGTTTAAAAAATGTTAGTAATGCAGGCATTAATTACAAACCCATAAACCACCCTTTAATGGACGGTGGAGAATTAAAAGGGGATGTGCATAGCTGCAATATGAGACAAATTGGATGAGTGAGCAGTAAAAAAAGGTGGTGACAGGCTATGGGTATGGGTTCATAGGCTAGTAGGCTACTCAAGTGGATGGACCTACAGAGAAAAACCACCCATGAAGTAATCTCTGGGCTATAAAAGGGGCAAGGTCCCGAATGAAAGAGGGAGGATTTTTGGCTATTTTTCATATGTAATAAGAGAAGAGAGAGCTGATTCTATGTAATCCAAAAAGAGCCCAAGAGAAATACAATACACAAGTGGATGTAGCTCTTCATTAACAGAGTGAACCACTATAAATTTTGTGTGTCCTCTCATTCAAGCATTATTCTCATGCTTCCAAAAATACAACAAACACTTCATAGCATAATTTTAAATATACAGTTAATTTTCAGCCGGTAACCCAACGGGATACCAGTGGGTAACCCGGCGTATTTCTGTTGACGAAATTTAGCTGTCAACACCATGTTTTCAAAAATTTTTGGACAAAGAAGGTTTATTATTGCCTTCTTGACAAACATGAAATTGTTGGCCTTTTAATGTTTATAGGGAGAAAGAGGGAAATAGACCAAAACTTGAGATGAATTAAAATTAATAGGCCAATAGTTTACATAAGTTAATAAATAGGTCAAATTACTGTTTTTGTCCATAATTTGTCTGGTTATAAACCATAATTTGACAAGTTATTGTCCATAATTGTCCATAACTTGTCTGGCTATGAACCATAACTTGACAAGTGTGTCCATAACTTATCTGATTATAAACCATAACTTGACAAGTTATGACCTATTAATTTCTATAATTAAAAATTAGCCTATATACTTTTTTAAGCTTTTCATATTGGCATATTTTATATTATTTCTCAAGTTTATACTTGTACCTCTTCTTGGATCTGAACATGCAATCAAAGCATCTCCTATTTCTACTATTTCTCATGTTTATACTTGTACCTCTTCTTGGATCTGAACACGCAATCAAAGCATCTACTATAGAAATGGAGTTCGAGCATTTTGGAGAGGTAAGGGGAAGAAGAACATTAAAATTGGGTTTCAATATTTTTTTAACCCTTATTTTTTTAGTATTTAACTTATTATAAGTTTAATTAGAATTTAATAGCTTGAATGACTGGCCACGTCATTGAAGCCGTTAACATTATAAACAGATAACAGAAAGACTATTTTAACATGTTTTATATGTATCAAGGGGTGATTTGAACTAATTAGAAACCTTAGGTGACATTTTGGGTGGCAATTTGGGTGGCAATTATAAAAATAATCCTAAATGTTATTAGGGTCAGCTAATTAGGCCTCGTTTATTTTGTGAATTCAAATTTTTAATTCGAACTGAGATGTAATATTTTCTGAGAGCTTTTCACTGTAGCAAAAAAAGTTAAATGTGACATTTTTCAAAAATTTTTTACTGTAAAAACCTAAAACTGAAAACTCGAATTGGTAAAATGAACGAGACCTTAGAGTACACATTTTTTAAGAAAGGATAAACTTTCTTGTTTCTTTAAACCCCACGTTTTCAGTTATTAAAAATACAGGTGCGCAGGCAAACTATATGTTTATTCTTTTATATGACTTGAATTGTATATGTAAGAAAAAAATATTGTAGTAAAAAAATTGAATTTAAATTTTTTGAGCGAAAACACTGTAATAATATGACTTGAGTCATTACTTGAGCCGTGAAATAAACACACTCTATGTTTTATAGGTAAGGTGGCAGAGGGGTCGCCCCCAAAGAGGGGCCTAATTTTAGCCCCATACTCTTCCCGCCCCCATTCAATAACCCGCATACCCGATACCCACGGGTAAAAATGCCAACTCTACGGATAGCATGTTTAAGTTAATAACCAAAGAACTATGGATGAACTACTAAAAGCAGCAGCAATGCTAAACACGCACTACCAAAAGCAATGGCAAACGTGGTCATATCTACGTTAATAGCCAAGGCACCATTGGTGAACTAGCATGCTGAAAGACAAAATTAGCAAGTGGTACATGTTCAAGACGACATTATTTAACCTTTACTGGTCAACTAAATATATCATATGTGATTAGCAAAAGAGGGTAAAGAAGCACAGGAAAATGAGACAGAAAAAAATAAAATCTGCACATTCGTTCCGTAGAGATCCCCGACTCCCGAATCATTTCTCTATCTTGCTTACTCATCAGCCATAGCTAACTCCAATGCATAGTCGTCTCTATCCTGCAATATCCAAACATTGTAGAAGATGAGCAAAAACAATTTTTCTCTGCATAAGCCTTATTTTCTTATTTCTTTTCATTTTTTTATTGCGTATTACTCTTTCTTCGCAAGCATGTATCATTTGCAGGCAGAAGAATTAAAAGATAGATTTCTAAAGAAAGATTTCGCGCACAGAATAAGCAAGGGATGAGGCTGCAGCCTTCATGTTTACACCTTGATTCTTGAGGAATAAAATTTTGGAAGTTTATAGTGGAATAGAACTTACAATAGGTCCTCTCGCAAAATATCTTCCAAATTGAAGCCAATAAACCTGTATGTGCCAAGGACTTCAGAGTTCCATAACCAGATAAACTAAAAGATAACTAAAAAGTGGAAATAAATCCAAAGTCCTAAGAAATCTCCTTATTGTTCAGATGAATAATGGGTTCCAAATTCTCCCATTTGAAACGGTCAGCAATTATTGGGGAAAAGAAAGGGGCAGAAAACATCACCCACAACAATGCCATCCCAAAAGAATCATCATTAAACATTATGGACAATAACGATCATTAGATATTAGAGACCTCAAAATCCAATAGTATTTAAACATAAAAAAGTGGATATTGAAATTCTATTTGACAACAAAACCAGAACGATTTGTACATTATAAATTACCTCATCCTCATCTTGTGTTTCCACTTCGAGATCTGACGACGGAAAACCTACGCAAAGAAGTGCATAACCCTGAATTTCCAAAAAAGAAACATTCATTTAATCGGTCAGTTTGTTTTATTTTATCCTATGTATATTTAAATAAGAGCAATATAACCACATATTTGAAAATTATCAGCCACCAACTGTAGGTAAGAGTCTTGAGAATGTTTGTTTCGCAAAACAGGATGCCATTTTCCATCAGTACTTCAGAGTTCATAACATAGAATCGGGTTGACTAAGTACAGGACATTCCTTGGATTACTCTGAACCAAACTAGATAGTTTCATGCCACAACCTGACTTTTAAACTTTACAACATTAATTCCACTTTTTGAAAAAGAATTTTACTCACGCTGCACACTTAATTTGAAGAAAAAATGGAGGTAATAACACATGCCTTCTCTTTCAATTCAGCCGATATTCCCAGGGCTTCAGGCTGTCTAAGTTGTCCAGACTTTACACGTACGGCACAGCTGGTACAACAACCTGCCAAGGAAGAGCTTTTCTCAAAAACAATAATTAAAAAAGGGAATATGGCGAGACTTGCATTAGTGTCATAAGGTGGCCCTACAAGGAAAAATGATACACAATAAAGTGCCAAGACGGCAATTGGAAAGATCTAACAAAGCAGTTTTGAGTTAGTTGATCTATAATTGATGTCAAATGACCAAAAGAAAGAAATTATAACAAAGTCTAAACTAAATTGAAAAGTCTCCCATTGTCCCTTGAAAAATTTAGTAAACACACTTGATTTCATTGAAGAAAATCTAAATCCAAATCTAAACATAAAAGAAAAAAGGAACAAGAACTAAAGGATGCGTACACCTTTCTGATGAATCCACGAGAACACATACTGGTTAAAATAGTTTTACAGCATTCAAACCAAAATGCGTGTTCAATCCACACCAATAACTACTCTTAAAAGGAATTTTTCATGAATGCCTAAACCAACACGCTAGTGCTGGTGATAGTAACGCCCCTAAAGTATACTCTTCCAACAAAAGAAATAAGGGCGCATGCCTCTGAGGCTGCTGACTCCAATGGTTTGTCGAGCCTAGATGAATACAAAGGTATCTCATGGCTCTCTCTCTCATCCATGTCTAGTTTCGTTGATGGGAAGTTCATCTTTTCATCACATGTACTCAAATATATACATACATAATTTAATGGTTTGCGCACCCAAGATGAAACACAGAGGTATTTCATGACACTCTCTCTCTCTCACACACACACCCACACCCATATGTAGTGCCACATATGCATTCAAACCCAATTCTCAAACCTATTTAGAGGGCTCAACTTTGAATTTAGAGTCTGCTCTAAAGCCTTCAATATTTGAGAAGCATGAAACCCATGGCTTGAGGAATTCAACCTCAAACTATTTAAGAGCAAACTGTGGGTGTGATTGCTCAGTTACCACGTGAGGGTTAGATGTATCAGGACTCCTGTGGAGCGTAATTATTGTCCTGACGCAGAGACAACATGTAGATGTCAAAGGTCTGTGATGTCTCTTGTAATTTCCATATCATCGTCATGAACTACTGAAGCGGCTAAAAGTAAATGTAACACTAAATATCCAGGGTGAACTACTATAAATCTGTATTTTTTTTTTCTGCGATTTTACTACTCTCCGTAGTAAAGAATGGCACGCTACCGCTAAAACTTAAAATTTTAAGAGAGTTCTATGCAATGTCAGAAATCACATATCCAACATCAAGCTTGAAGATTTTATTACCAGTGCAAATTTGACGTGATCAAACAGAAGAATTACACGTCAATGGTACTACTATATACAGATTAGAAAGCAATACCGTGCCTGCAAGCAAATGGAAGAGAGATGTTCTGAGCCTCAGCCGTATGCAATATATATTGGTCCTGCAAATTTAAACAAAATTAAACATCAATTAACCAAAATTCCATTGAATTATTCACGACACGCAAAATCATAAATTTCTTAGCCATAGACAAGCACAAAATTTAAAGCTTTAAATTTTTTATCGCATTAAATGTATACATGAGTATAATCCAACTGAAAAAAAAGACATTTTTTCATTCAAAATAAATTCATTTTGGAGTATTTTCTCTTCATTAACCAAAAGTCCGTAAATTTGCGTTAGCGAGGCAACTAGAAAGAGCTAACTCCTGATTTTCTTGCGCATTTTCTCTGGAAACAAACAGAAACCCGATCCATACGTACCTCCGGAACGAGGAACTCGTGAACGACTCCTCTCTGTCTGTCGTGAACGGTGACCTTGTGAGTCGGAATGGTATTCGCAGGGGAGTAGCTGCCACCGGCTGAGCCGGTAACTCCGACCGTCGATTGGAGTTCCGACGTCGTTTTGCGGCGGCATTTTGAGGCGTTGAAGGGAAAAGTTCTGCTCTTCAGCGGCATCGTTTTCCGGTAGAAATCCGGTTTCCGGTGAATCCAATTGCAGGAATTGCAGGGAACTGCAAGCTCCATTGGATCGTTTGCTTTCTGTCTGTGACTCCGTGACTCTCTGATTCTGTGACGCGGTAGGGGTGAGGATAATGGATTTGAAGGAGGTGGCGATGATCCAGTGCTTGCGTTTCTACGGATTGGCTCGAGTAAGCGGTTTAATCGACCGGAATGTGTGGTGTTTATGTGGCTGGAATTGTGACACTTGTGACATACGCAAAGGCCCGTTGACACGTGGCATTGTCGAGTTGCTTTTTATTTTTTATTTTTTTAGGGGTGCCCAAAAAAAGAACAATGTCATTATTTTGTCTTTGGATTATTTTTCGATTTTGATCAATTTTGGTTAAATCATTTAACCCGATTAAATAGAAATAAATATTAATAATCAATTTTTTTCAATTATTTTGATCAATTTTGGATTATTTTTTCATGTATTAAATAAAAAGATTACATGACTATATATAAGGTCGATAATATGAGTCACGACACGATAACACGATTTGAAAACGATACGAGTTTCACGGGTTAGGATTGAGAAAAAAGAGGTTCATGCCAGAATTGAGTCGACCTGAAATTGATACGAAAAACACGGATCAATTTTGGGTTAGACCCGCCTAACTCAAATACGACACGAAACTCGTAAAAAATTAAAAAATACATATATTTTTCATTACATATTTTTTTATTTTATTATTAACTTGTGATATCATGATAGTTATACTCAAAATCTTATACTATTATTTGCTTAATTTCAATGGATATTATTGTATTTTAGTGTGTTTTGAATTTTAAGTTATTTTTAATATGTAAAAAACTAAATAAAAGTATACAATTTTCATGTCAATTTCGGGTTCATGGGTCAATTTTGTGTCACGGGTCATTTTCATGTCGTGTTGTGTCAACCCGTAAAGTGGTCGTGTTGCGGTTTTTAAAAAATTTAGTGTCACGGGTCGTGTTCGGGTTGACTGTAAATTTTAAAAAAATGATCAAAACACGATACGTCAAATGAATTGCCACCCTTAACTATATATTATATTTTTTTATTTGTTTTTAACAAAAATTACAATAAAAGAAATTAAGTAGAAACAATTTAAAATTAAGAGAATAAAATGAGATTTTTAAAATTTAGAAAGTAAATTAGAAATAACCTTAAAATACAAGAAGCACCAATAATGATAATCTTTTTCTTAAAAAAAATATCAAAGTTATTAAGAGCTCGTTTAATTCGTTGATTCGAGTTGAAATGTAACTTTAAATGAGAGCTTTTTATTGTAGTAAAAAAGTTAAATGTGACTGTTTTTGAGAATTTTTTACTATAATAAAACTCAAATTTTAAACTCGAATCGGTGAAATATACGGGCCTAAATTTTTGTTACAAAACCGACCATTCAACCCGTCTAGGCTGATCTATAATGTTACATCTATTAGCTGATTCATTTTGTTCATACATATAATGTTATTAGATACTTTACACATTTACCCTCTTAATTTTTATAGCTTTAGTAATTTATCTCTTAAATTTTAATTTTGACAAGTTGTCTCCTTAATTTATAAAATCATTACAATATACTCTATTAGTGCAATAAAATAAAATAAAATAAACACGTTTAAAGAAAAATTCTAACATATCAATTCAAATGTAATATAAATCTTTTAAATTTTTAACCTTTAATCTTTTAAATTTATTAAAAAGTTTGAATAAATTTAGTAAAATAAAGCACATTACAATAATTTTATAAGTTCAATAGGTTGATTGTTAAAATTTAAAATTTAAGAGCAATTTACTAAACCATAATAATTTCAAAGTACTAATGCTGAAAATCCGAATGTTATATGTGTATCAATTTTTTTCTCTCTCATTATATGTGAATCAATTTGTTTATATCTGTTAGTTTTTTTTTTTTTTTTTTTTCAATTTTGGGTATAAAAATCATCAAAGTTGTTCTGAGATGTTAAAGATCTATTTAGAAGGTATACTCAAACCATAATTCTTAATTCTGATGTTTAAAATTTAAATTTTTTATGACAGAAAAATACAGTAGCATAATTAATAATTTGAATTTGAATACACGAAACAAACGGTCTATACGATTGAGAACTCATACACTCTGTAAATTTTTAAGAAATATCAGGATTTTATTTTAACAATAAACGTAAAAATTAAAGTAACTTATTAAATTTTAAGATTTTTTCCGGTACACTAAGTCAAATAAAAATAGAAAAATACGTAAATTCAACCGTTAGAAAAACATTCGTTTTCTGATTAGTTTCCCATAATTAGGATATGTTTTGCGGCAAACAAAAGTGTCGGAGGCATCCAAAGAGTCAATTTCACGACAAGTCTCAAAGCCTATCTTTGTCTCCAATGTGTCAAACTCAATGAACCTGCATGTTCGCCACTTGTCAGCCTACGTGGCATGATCAAATCTCTTACCGCATGTTATCCCTGTCACAGTTTTTCCCATATAAGATCATGGAATGGAACAAACAAAATCCTTGGTTATATTTATGTATCATCATATAGAGCTAAAGAAACAGGAAATTAGGGGAAAAAAATGCAATCTGGAAAGGAGAAGATCAGCAACATGGCTAGTGCTGCCAAGGAGCACGTAGAAGTTTATAAAGCCAAAGTCGAAGAGAAGGTTTGAAGATCATATGTATATATATGTGTGTGTGTGTGTGTGTGTTTCTGTATCGTCTGACATGATTATAGTTGTAATTCTCATTGTGTTTGTGTGTGTACTGTGGCTATAATTATATGTTTTCAGTTGGAGAAAGCAGCAGCGAGGACAGAGGAAGAGAAAAAGATAGCAGAAGAGCGGAAAAAGGCCAAGGAAGCCGAAGCCAAGAAGGAGTTGCATGAGGCCAAGGCCAGGCATGCAGCTGAGAAGTTAAGCCACAAGCAAGCACATCTTCGTCACCATGGCCATGCCGCTGGCCACCCCACTGACCATCCTCTTTACGGCGAAACCGCTGCCGCCACTGCCACCGCTGCCGCGCCAGTCTCCGGGCAGAATGAGCCCGTGGTTGGGACACATGGCCACCACCACGGGGCCACTGCGCCAACTTACCCCTTGGGCACGCAACTTCAAAGGAACAAGCGCTTGTAGTTTAGGGGATCTTGTTTGTATGGATATGGTCTGGCTAATTAAGCCTAAAACCGTCTTAATGTAAAAATTTGTTTAAGGTGCCTTTTATGTTTTCAGTAATAGATATTAGTTTCAGTTTGTGCTTTTGAATCAACTCAAAGCCATCAATTTCTTTCTTGTAATACATTTCTTACAATTTCGTACCAATATATTTCTTATTTAACATGTGAAATGCTACCTCAAGTGAAAAAAGTGCATATAGTGGACTTATTATTTATTGCTACCTTCCATTTTCTTTATTGCTACCTTTTATTTTCTTTACTTTCTTTATGTTGCATGCTAATTGTTTATTATCGTTGAAAAACAACCGTTTATTTTTGGGTGGGGTGCCATAAAAACATGTTTTTATGTGTTTTTATGTTTTTTTACCACCTTTGTGTAGTGTGTCTGGTTTTTTTCCCCAACTTTTATATTCCTAGTACATCAAAGCAGTTAAAATATCAGGAATAGTCGGAAGCTATAGCATTAATATCAGTGTACTAAAAGAAATGAATTACACACAAAGCATAGGATTCGTGTGGAGTAGCTAACGGTACAACCAAAGATCCTTAAAAGGGATCAACCACTGCCAGAAAAACAACCTTATCAACATTGATAACATAACAATACAATGGGGTCATGCAGTTCTGCAGCAGAACTTTGTACCAGCACAAACATTATACAGACAACAGTATTCCATCGTGAAAGAACAAATTGACAAACAGGCATCATGCTCGTGCTATAGTTTTGAAATCCCCAAACCCGGAAATCCAAGGTCTGATAAATGTGTTGTAAAAATTGTTTGTTATACCCATTGGAGCCTTCCTTGATGTTCCACGCACTGTTGGATTCTGCCATCCTGCAAAATAACCTGTTTCTTAACTTTGGCGGGTCTGGTTCTGTATTTCACTTGGAACCTTGGAAATGGCTTCCTCTCATTTTCTGTGCTAGTCGCTGTCTCCAGAGCGACTTCGTCGTAGAACTCATCGGCTACATCTCCATCTTCATCCACCCTTAGTCGCTTTGCGTACCATCTCAGACCCTGAATGCACAAAGGAATAGGAAAACCCCACTTCAGCTCACGCAACATATGGTCCATTACGAGTGCTTTTCTAGAGCAAAATAGAAAGAGAAACCAGGTCTAAAAAAGTACACAATCATTTCTTCTCTCTCTCTCGCTCTCCTTTTTCTTTCATATTTATGTCCCAACCAAAATCAAGTGCTCTATTTGGATTCCTTCAGAACCAAGGTATTGAATAGGCAAAGGGGAATATTTATCGAACAAATACCAATCATTGGTTTAGCCAAGGGAAACAACCTCTAGTTGGAATACACAGTATGTTACAAAATAAAACAACAAGAGTAGAAGTTTTAGATATAAAGCAGGGGATAGGAGTTCTACTGTTTCTACCCTTTTTCTTTGGGTGCTTATAGCTGCCTACTGCCCTGCATGCACTTCCCTTGGAAGATAACCACAATCCCCCTCACAATTTATCTGCGAATTGTATCACAACGATGACAAAAACAATACCAGCAACAACGAGAACTCATGCCCATAACGATTTACTGGTCTGGACTAACTTTACTAATGCAACATGGATGGTATTCCGAACTGATATGGCATTTCTCTTCCAATCTAGTCCCCAAAAAGTGCAGCGTACCACAAAATTGTCACCAATAAAAACAGCAGTTACAACCTTTTCCTCCCCAAGACAATGACGTAAAAGCATGTGAGAAATAGCAAATCAATCAATACAGGATGCTTCTCCAGAACAAACAAGGGATTGGGTTGCTACAAGTAAATACTGTTTGCAAAAATAGAGAATGTGAATCTTTTTGTAGTCATAATATCCGGAAAAAATCGTGCTTCAGTTGTGCAAAACATGCAAACTCGAATAAAAGAGAGCAAGAGAGGAAAGTGGTAGCTGCAAGCCAATGATTCAAAAATGTTTTTAACCAAAATAATGGTCATTTACGAACTGCTACACTCGCATAAAATGAGGCATTCAGTGACTGCAGAAAATGTTCCAAAGAACTTGGTTTGACCGTGCATGCAAGTCAAGTCCAAAACTGTTCATGGATTAAGGTCAAGAAGACATTTTGCACTGCCCAACTCAAGGTTAGCACTAAAGATCCGGGCTCATGGATAAGGCAAAAAGGTAAGCACAGAATAATACCAGGAAAAATGAATATCTCGTATCCGACCACACAGCATAAATCTAACAGCCAAATAAAATAAAATAATTGACAGTGATGAGCGAACCTCCCACTTCCAATTTACGTTGGCAGGTCTTTCATTTGTGCTAGTTTAGATTAAATTAAACCTTCTACAATTTTTACGACCTTCCAAGTTCCAACCTACTTCATTATGTTGGCTTCTGGAGAAACATCACGTCTTTTAACTGCAAGGTTTTAATGAATATTGTGAATTTCTCGCATGTGCTTTCTGCACTTGACAACCGGATAGCTCAACAATATTTTCATACTGAAACCACAAAAGAAAAGTCAGCTTCTAAGCTCAGCAATTATTAAATGGTGAACTAAGCCAATGAAACAATTCCTCAATTTACGCTTTTAATTTGCAAGGAACATCAGACTACAAAAAGCAGGAGAGTCTTAAAAATAGAAAAATAAAAAGATTCCTTTGGGCTCATAGCCATTAGTTTGAAAAGGGGGAAAAGAGAATGAAAAGAAAGAAAAATGTTAATCTTTTGGTAAATGGAAAGGAATGAAGATTGTTGTCAATATTCAATACTAGTCAAGTTACTTTTACCCTAAAGAGAACATTCTCGTGAAAGAATTAAGGATGACTGCAACTAAGCAGCATTTTTATGCCTTAACGCATACAATAATAAGATAGAATGATAACTACTGCCATAACGATAAAAGAACAAGATAGACTGATACCCTAATGCATACGGAGAGAAACACCATGAAGATAGGAGTTTTAATCTTATCTACACTATTCTTTGGTGTCATGTTGATAATAAATGATTTTTTTTTTTGGGTTTAAATAAGCACTGTTTCATCCATAAATTATAAGGAATCTTCATCAACCATTTCATACTCTCTTTGTTTCATCTTGGAAGAGAAAGGATCATTCAACTAGAGGAGTAGTCTTCTTAAGAGAAGCTAAGTGAACCACAAGCATCCGACATAATACATGAATCTATGGGCACAATTTTGAAAGTGACTTGTGGGGCGAAAAGATCAATCAATAAATATAAAAAAGCAGGCCAAAATGCAAAATAAAGATAAAAAGAAGAAGAATCCATTATCCATGTTTAATCTGCATTAAAAAAATCAAAAAGAAAAAAGATGAAATTTTCTAAAGATAACTAGAAATGTTTGAACTACAAATTTATCTCCACATTTTCATTTGTATCAAGAAATGTTTGAATTACCAATTTATCTCCACATTTTCATTTGTATCAAAGAGCCAATATTTCTAACTTCAAAAATTACTAAAAGCGATCTTAAAAGAATAAAAGAAACAAAAATGAGATGGTCAATGAAATTGAAGGACAAAAAGTGGAAATGAAAAGAATACATTTATTTCAGTCACATTTCATTTTCCTAAAAACCTAGAAATCAACAATAAATGAATTTCAAATACAATTTTAAACAATCATAAACTTTATTCAGAACTCAAAACCTTTTTAACGTTTTATTTAATCATTTGAAACAAACCAGTAATTGTTGGCAAAGTAGTGGGAGTTCAAAGTTTCGAACCAAATTATTGCCAAGAACAATTTCCTTCCTTCCTTCCTATTCTTTTATAAAGAAACAAAGTATTCAAGTAAGAAAACAGGAATAAATCCTGAATTTCGATGCAAGAAATTTGCAAATCCACAAAAAAAAAAAAAAAAAAAAAAAAAAAAAATTTCGAGCTAAACATCAAGCACTAATCCGAAAAGCAAAACATGAAATAGCAAAGTAGTCATAGCAATGATCGGATCTCATCTAATACGAATTCAAATCACAGATTCATTCACAATTTATGTTAATTCAACATAAAAAAGAGTACGAACCTGAAGACCGCCATCGCCGGAATTACAAGGAGCGAGAAGGGGGCCGGGATGAGATCGATCGACGGCGACCTGGACGGGAACGCTGAAGCCTTTACGGGGAAGGCCAGTCTCCTTCATGTGGACACGATTCCGAGGCTGCGAAGCAGTATTTCCATCTTCGTGGTGGTGGTGGTGGTGATCGTCGTCGTCTTCGTCCTTGACTTCGTGACCGTCGTCCTTCGCAAACCCTAGGAATCCGGCTATTCTCCTAAAAAACCCCATGAAAGAAGAACTGCGATCGCCGGCGATAGTGAAACAGTGTTGAAGAGGCCGGCAACAGTTTTTGTTTCTGTTCTTGTTTTGGTTTTTTAATTTTAGCTTTTGTTTTTGTGGTTTTTTTTTCCTTTCTTTTTGGGTTGTATTTTGAGTTTCTGGGCTTTAGAAGTTAGAAGTGTACGCAACTGCAGAAGAAAGAACAAAAATGTTTTCTTGACGAGGCTGTTTATCTGTTTGTGTATTTCCTTTAATTTCTCTCTCTAATTGTGCTTTGTTTCTTTCCTGCGATCACGTGCATTAAGAAAATCGGAAATCCATATTATAACTTATTACGTTAAAAAATAAAAGAAAAAAAGATAATGTGGGCCTTTTTTTTTTTATTGGCGAGATACTGTGGCATATGGAATAGTACTCGCATTTACATTTCATCCAAAAAAAAAAAAAAAAAGAAAGTCCTCACATCTCTAGAGAATAATTAGAGATTTTTCATTTACACTCAAACTCAAACAAAATTTAAACTCAAATTATAATTTTATTTAAATTTATTATTATTTTTTTTTATAAAAACGTGGCAGGGCGTAGTAAGTCAACCCAATTTTTTGGGCCAAAATTCACTTATTTTCATCAGTTTCGGAGCAAAAAAAAATCAGAGAACTGTGACTGAAGACGGCAATAACTTTTGATCCAAAAATCATCGCTGGGCCTATAATATACCAAATCGAAGTTCTTATCGAGCTCTACAAACGTGGTAGGGCGTTGCCCGCCAACCCAATTTTTTGGGCAAAAATTCACTTATTTTCATTAGTTTCGGAAGAAAAAAAATCGGATAACTGTGACTGAAGTCGACCATAACTTTTGATCCAGAAATTGTTGCTGGGCCTATAATATACCAAATTGAAGCCCTTTTCAAGCTTTACAAACGTGATAGGGTGTAACCCGCCAACCCAATTTTTTGGGTCAAAATTCACTTGTTTTCATCAGTTTCGGAGGAAAAAAATCATAGAACTGCAACTGAAGACGACAATAACTTTCAGAATTCTTAGGGTTCTTGGGGCCGAATTTAAGATATAGCCTCTAAATCCTTCATTCCTCAACAAATTGGAGTTCGAGTTTCAATTAGGTTTTCCTAAACCTAAACCTAGCTGGATAAAGCCTCTATCCTTATAAGGCTTCCCTAAACCTAGTTGGAATTCAATTAGGTTTTCCTTCCTTGTTACTATCATTTGGCCAAAATTTCATAAGGGAGTCAAAGTTTCAATCAAATTCGACCTAGGTTCTTTTATTAGCCAAACTTTGCGATTAAAAAAAATCTGAGAAAAAAAAAATCATAGTACTGTACCTTAAAACAGCCATAACTTTTGATCCAGAGATCGTTACGGGGCCCGTAATATATCAAATCGAGCCTATTTTTGGGGCCAAAATTTGATCATTTTCACTAGTTTCGGAGCCTTTTAATTTTACTGGTTCGTTTGATTGCCAATAACTTGATTGTTACTTGAAAAATTTGAGTGTTTTTAAGTCCGATTAAGAACTAAAGAAGACACAACGAGTGGGAGAGAAAAAGGCAAGAGTGGTGAGAACATCAGAGGGTAAAAGCCATTGAGTGACAAACACGAGTGTCAAAAAAACAAAACAAAAAACAAAAAAAACACATCCGGAGTGAAACACGTGAGGGAGTGCTTGTGAGGTTTCTAACTTTGTTTTGCAGATGTTAATCATGTCTCACAACCAAGGCAAACATCAAACTAAAGCGGTTCAACAAGAAGTTAATCTGCCTACACAACAACCGAATCTACAAATGCAGGCATTGATAGGGGAGATGAGGCGAATGATGAGGGTGGAATTAGAACAACTTCATGAGAGGATGGATAAAATAGAAGAAGAAGTGCAACAAAATAATCCCATTCGGTAGCCCCCTAGGCGTGTGCCAACCAGGAATCGATGGGGTAAGTTTGAGGATGAAGAGGAGTTAGAGGAGCTTGAGGATCCACCAATGAACCGAGATAGGTTTGGGAGAGGGAATAGAGAAGCTAGGATGGGTAGACCTAGGCAGGATGATGATTTGGGAAGCATTAAGGTGAAGATTCCATCCTTCCAAGGGAAGAGTGATCCCGAGAAAGAGTGATCCCAAGGTGTATCTTGAGTGGGAGAAACATATGGAGATGGTCTTTGATTGTCATAACTACTCGGAGCTCAAAAAGGTAAAACTCGCTGCAATTGAATTCACCGATTATGCTATCGTTTGGTGGGACCAATTGTTGTAGGATAGGAGAAGAAACCAAGAATGATCTGTCGAGACATGGGACGAGATGAAGACCATCATGAGGCATCGTTTTGTTCCAAGCTACTACCACCGAGAGTTATTTAACAAGTTGCAATGCCTAACTCAAGGTTCCAAGAGCGTAGATGATCGAATGTGGAGGAGGACCGTGAAGCAACCATGGCAAGATTCTTGCATGGTCTAAATCGTGAGATAGCGGATGTAGTAGAGATGCAACATTATGTGGAGCTAACGGATATGGTCCACCAAGCCTTCAAAGTATAACAACAATTGAAAAGAAAGAACATGGCTAATAGGGGAATGAACGTGGCTGCCACAAACTCATTGGAACCATCCCCTAAACAAGATGAGTTTCCTATTGCAAGACCTAAGATTGAACCCTCTAAGGATGCCAAGCAAGCTGAGACATCAAAGGAAGGTAACCCTGAATCCTCAACAAATAGAAACCGTGATATTAAATGTTTTAAATGTCAAGGCAGGGGGCACATAGCTAGCCAATGTCCGAATAGAAGGGTGATGGTGATAAACGCCCAAGGAGAGATTGAGTCGGATGAAGACAAAGAAGAGGTAGATGACATGCCACCTCTTGAAGATGCCTATGACGTACAACATGCGGTGGAAGGAGAAGCATTGGTGGCAAGGCGAGTCCTTAGTGTGCAGGTTAAGGAAGAAGAAAACAACCAATGAGAGACTTGTTTCATATGTGGTGCTTTGTAAATAACAAAGTTTACAGCCTTATCATTGACGGTGGGAGTTGCACAAATGTGGCAAGCACCGAAGTAGTGGAGAAGTTGCCATTACCTACCTTGAAACATCCACGGCCATACCGGCTTCAATGGCTCAATAATTGCGAAGAAATCAAGGTGACAAAACAGGAGATGGTGACATTTTCCATTGGGAAATATGAGGATGAGGTGTTTTGTGACATGGTACCTATGCACGCATGTCACATTCTATTGGGAAGACCATGGCAATACGGTCGGTGAGTCACACATGACGGTTTCACCAATAGGTACACTTTTACCATTAAAAGACAACCCATATCCCTTGTCCCATTGATTCCCAAACAGGTTCTTGAAGACCAACTAAAGATGCAAGAGGCAAAAGAAAAGAGAGAGGAAAAAGAGAAAGAGACCGAAAAAGAAAGAAAAGAAAATGAGAGAAAAGAAAATGAGAGGAAAGAAGTTGAGAGAGGCAAAAACATGAGAGATCATGAGGGGAAAAACAAGAGAGTTACAGCCTTGATGAGAGAAAATAATTACAATTTCATGGCTACAAAAAGTGACATTAAGAGAGCTTTACTATCACACCAGCCCCTTATAGTGCTCACGCACAAGGAGGCTCCTTTGAATACTAACGATCGTGCCGGTTCTTTGCCGAGCAATGTTGTTTCTTTCTTGTAGGAGTTTGAGGATGTAATCCTAGAAGAGATGCCTCCTGACTTACCTCCAATTCGGGAACATGAACATCAAAGTGACTTCATACCCGGTGCATCAATTCCAAGGGGTGACGATTTGAGGACAAATCCTTTTCAAGAGGGAGAGAATTATGCGATAGGTGGAGCACAAGGGCAAGCGGCGCAATCTTCAAGAGATCCATTGAGACTACCGAGTGATCCAGTGACAAGGCTTAAAGTCAAATGCTCTCAGGAAGCATTGAACGGGCTGGTTCAACAAGTTAGAAATACAAAAAACACATGGAGGCCCAACAAAAGTCCAAATCCGAATGAAGAGCTTAACAAGGGCTGGCCGAATAAGAGCTTAGAAAGGGCTGGCCAAATTGGGTCTAGGGAGAGACTTTATGGCCGAATTGGCCTTGGAGTGTATAGGGTCCGAATTAGACTTGGAATTAGATTAGGGTGGCCGAGTCTGGGCTTTAGGCTTAGATAATTAAACGTTTTCGTTTCTTTCTTTAGGTTAAAATCGCAACCTATATAAATAGGGATGCTAAACTCGTTTTTGAATTAATTAATGACTTATTATTGATATTGAGGTTTCTCATATTCGTGCTTCTTGGTTCTTGAGAAGACTTTGAACTTATCAAGTATTGTTCTTGTGGCGTTCAAACAATCGGACTTATCATTGAGATTAACAGGTGAATTCTTGATAATCTTTGTGTGGCGTTCGCTATCCTTCGTAGTTCTTGGTTCGTGTCTTGATAGACAACGGGTTAAGGCTCAACAATCTTGCGTCTTGAAGATCTTGGGGTTGTGATCCGTGTTTGGTGTTGGGTCTCATCGCGTCATTGGCGAGGTTCATATCAGTTAAGAAGCCAAAAATTCATTTCAGTACACCAAATGTCATTTAAGGCTGTTAAATTTCTTGGAACATAAAACAGTCTCAACTTCTAAATCTCACATCAACACCGTGGGAATATGAGAAATGAGGGGTACGTTCGAAATTGATTTTAAAATAATTTTATTTTCAATAAAAAGTAAAAATAAATTCGTTTTGAGAATTATTCTGTAACCGATTTTAAAATTGCGTTTGGTTAGTTTTTAAAAAAATTATTTTGAGTATAATAAAAAAATAAAATCGTATTTATTAATTAATATATTATAATATTATTGATAAATACTAACAAATGAAAACAGAAAAGTGAAAACAACTTTCAACTATTTTCTAATTCTTTAACAAAAATCACTTTCACTGTTTTCATTTTCATTTTCGTTTTCAAAACATTTATTAAACAAACGTCGTTTCGTTTTCATTTTTATTTTTTATTTTTCAAAATAGGTAAAAACTGCTCACAAAAACGGTTCCAAACATACACAAAGAGTGTTCCCTTTTTCAATTTTTTTAGGACGTTTCCCTTTCTAATAAATAGTGTACTTACAAAACTAGAAATGACAGTTTGGTGAGCCCCACTTAATTTAAGAAATAAAGAAGAAAATATCAATCCTGACACCATTTGGTATTAATTTCTAGTTAATGGGAACAAATATCAAATATATTTTTGTACCTTTAATAATATTTAACTATGTAAAAGGACATTTTATTACAAATAATAATTTAAAAAAAAAAACTAGAGAGCTAGGGAATCCATGATTCCATTCTTAGGCTTTTATTTAATTTTCCAAACCCACTGCCCTTCTGCTTACATTCGATTACGGTTGGTGAACATGCTCCTAATTTATGTTTGCCTCTTTCATTCAGCTTTTGGAGTAAGCTAAGCCATGCAAAATAGTACTCAATGGTTAGTACTTAAGCATTAGAGAATAGATACAAATGAGCTATCAAAAACTCGTGTTACAGACATTCAAGGTTTCTTGTTGACAACTTGTCACTTGATGTATAACATTCGCCAAGTAACTCACATTGCCAGAGGTTACACCTGCCATGCTGCCATCATGACCGTATGGTTACAGTTAGGATGGCATTTATCATTCCTATACCAATCTATCAGTTAGTTTAAAGATGTTTCTAGTATAATGCTTACCTAATTCGACCGTCGTGAGTCATGTATATGAGGAATTCTCTAGCCAACAGTTTGACCTGATCCGGGGTTAAGCCGGAGAAGCAGAACCTGTGATTTAAATGTTGGTTTTCGAATCGAATTCGGATGCGGAAACGTGGGGATAGCGGATCAAGTATGACAAAAATATTCATAAAACCTTTGAGATACTCTATAGATTATATTAATTTATACACGAATAAATTAATCACATTAATTCATTTATTAAGAACTCAATTACGAATAATACCTAGCGGCCGATTAGGATGATAACTTGAATTCTTTGACCTCAAACAATTCTTGCTCCAAAGCCTTGTGTTTAGAAAACCAATGTCTTTCACGTCAATTCTTAGAATCCACGAAGACGTGTGTATGGGCACACCTGAGACAAAACGAGTTAGAATAAACACTCAAATTTTCACAAACACTAACGCATGCATGATGTGAAATTTTTAGAGAAAAATATTTTTCCTCTCACTCTATAGAGAATTTCGGCCACCCTTAGAAAAGTAGGTCAAAAAATTGTCTTCAAAAATTGTTTCACAATTTTCTATCATTCTCTTATTTATAGAGTAGAAGTCAAACTTCTAAAAGGAATCCAAGCTCTATCTCCAAGATAAAACTTGTTAATTATCTCCTATTTGAATTTGAAACAAAAGTCTCCAACTCCTTATCCTCAAGATGGCCGGCCAACCTAGGTGATCATATCCCTGTGGTAGGTGCCAAATACAGATAGGGAAGGAAGAGAAAATCATCATTTATCATGCACTCCAATTTTGATTCAAATTCAAATTTCAATTTAAGTCAAACTTAAATTAATTTGAATTCTAAATTGAACAACTTATCAATTAAGTTTAAAAGGATAAATTTAAATTATGTTCACAATTCAAATTCAAATTTAAATAATCACATTATTTAAATAATAATTAATTCTCAATTAATTATTTTTTGAGTATTTAATTTTAGAATTCCATAATTCTAAAATTCTCATTTTGTCCTTTGTGTCTGGTAGAATTACAAGGACGACGCGGGGACTAATGGACCTATAATCCCGAGCTATAATAAAATTAATAATTAATTAAACACTTTAATTAATTAATTAATTCTATTAATTTTAATAGTTACTCCACTATAAACTTGGAATTGCACTCTCAAAATTATAGACATAAATTACTTCTAAACTGTAAAGTGTCCATTTGATACAGTCACGGCATATAGATCAATCATCCATAAATAATTCATAATTAGAGCTAGGTAGAATCTGTTAACCTCTCTAATTATATCTTCATCCTTGAGTACCATTGATTCTCTAATGGATAGTGATTCATAAAACACATTCATGAACCAGAGCGCTCTTATTAATCCAAATACCGAATCAACACTCAAGAGAATTATTTATCTGCTTCTTTCTCAAGAAGGAATGGATTCCGTCTCGTATAATAACATTCCCGGCTACCTACTTCATCATGTCTCCAAAATATAAGGAATAGAATTCAGGGTCTCGAAATCCATACCGAATAAATAAAAAGACAAATCTATAAATAGGAGTTTGTTAAGAACTCAGGATTAAGATCATTCTATATATGACCATCGGTAGACTCAATTAGAATTTCTATACTTAACGAAAATTATTAGAAATTCATATTGTGTCTGTGTCTCTGTTCCACATAATCTCATTATACGTAATATACTCATTCAATATCTCACTATATTAACAATGCGGATAACACCGTTCCATTCTAAATGAGAATGACATGTATTAATAATATTTTAATTAAAGATTCTGAACTTTAATTAAATTTATTACAAACATCTATTTTTTATTATTATCCTTAAACATTATCCTCTCACATATAACACTTATATACAATGTTTAAGGTCACGTAAATAATCACGGAATTTTCATTTGATATTCATAAAATATTCATAAATATATGCACATAAAATGATGAATAAACTCTTTTATTAAATAAATAATAAATATTCTATCACATCTCATTCTTTTAGGACACTATTCTCAATATTAAACACTTTAATATTAGATACAGCATAATCTTAAAGCCAAAGGACATTACTCTTTTCGTATTAGTACACCAACCTGGTTAGTAATGTGTTCCCAGTTAAGAGGAGAACCCAAATTGTCAAGACTGTCACGAAGAGCAGAACGGATACTTTTAATGCGACTTGCCATAACCTGGAAACATAGAGATACCTCAAATGGATGTATTAAAATTGCTCGGATTTAGTTAGATATGCGCCAGTAGAAACCGGAAAACGTTGAGTTATTACCTTCACCTCTCTGAGCCAAAGTGATTTAATATCCGAATTGCTCAAGATCGTGGAAATCAATAATAGTCCATGAACAGGAGGGCTGCCGTACATTACCCTTGCAATCTGCTGAAGTTGGCTTTTGACTGCAACTCCTTGCTTTTGATCGAAACACAGAACACTGAAAAAAATGTTTTAGAATAAGAAAATCTGAACAGCAATTATACAAAAAATAAAGTAAATAAATAAAAGGAATTAGTGATGTGAGACGCGCTCATAACGAATAGTGAGTACCACAACCAGTGGCACAAAATAGCACTGCTCTTGGAATCCAACTTCGAGGACAAAGAAAGGTAATTAGAAGGTTATGGCCAGCTAATAGTCTCAGTCAACCGATCTGATACTGTTATGCCCTTCTTTGAGGTCTAAACATTTTAGATTCATGTGAGTTGAGATACTGTTAACATTTCAATTTATGAAGTAATTTTTCCCATAACAGATTTTTAGAGAATATTAACAGCGTAAAAAAATTTCAAGAATGTTCTACTCGCCTGAGACAACCAACTCGGTGTCTATAAAATCCCATATTCTTCGCAAAGGATTGTGTTAGGCCCATAATTACGTATGTATTTAGGGGCAGTTTAATCTTTTGGGTGTTTTATGGATTTAGGACTTTAGTATAAAGAGGGCATTAGCAAGTCATTAGGTTTATGTTGAGTTTTGTCAAGTTATTAAGAGTAATTAGGAGTTTGGGAGAGATTGACCTACCTCTCGAATTGTAAGTCAGAATTTATATTTCCGTTGATTGAATAATAACAATAAGCTTTAATTCAGCCCTAATCCCCATTGATTCTTCTCTGAGTCCTATCTATTGAGCACAACCAATCAAATGCCCATCTTCAACAAAAATCCGGATGGCTTTGGCATCAACGTCGAGATGTCCACTTGCAAAACCTTGACAAGCCATATCGAAAAAGGGGAAATGATTTTTTACCTGCAAGTCTTTGATATGAGATTTAAACTAATTGGAGAAAAAGAAAAGAAATATAGCAACACAACACATTTAAAATCAGTACCTTAAACTGATATGAGATTTCTCTCCATTGTTCCTCAGTAGGGTCAACTCTAGTTGGATTATGAGCACAAGGAAGGAGGAAGAAAAATGAACTGGCCGGGGCATTCTGTAAAATCTACCAAAACAAAACAAACTAAGAAAGTCAAGACCCTTGTTTGTACCTTATATTTATGGGATAATATAAAGCATATGTATAGTGCTTTTAGTTAACGACTCCAAAAAAATTGCGTTGGAAGTGTTGAGACGTCTGATATTTCAGTCAGTTTCTTTTCAATTTCAGCATAAATTAAGATAATACTATAGGGAAAAGACATGTTCATTGAAATATTTCAGACAGCAGATTCATACAGTATACTTTGTAGGCTATAAAATGAAAGATAGTTCAATTTGTTTGAGTGAGATACGAAAATTCAGCTGTAATCTAACTCAACTAATTCATTCTTGCTATTATGTACCTTGATGTCATCCATGAGTGCTGCAAAGTTTAAACCTCTTGTATTTGGATTATAGTAGCGGAAGGTTCTCCAAGGAACGTGGGCATCTCTCCAGATGTTGTGGTGGCTATGCAATGCACATGATTGGTACATAGTTGTCGGACAAAAGGAAATTGCAGATTAATATCACGTACATTACAGGGTTGATACAAAATATATAGTAATAGAAGCACTTAGGGACCTATTACAAACTTACTTGGACCAAGTTGGATTGGGTAAATAAATTTGTGATTCAGGATAATATCGATTCTGGAACTCAGCAAAGAGACGGCAGGCACCCGTGCCGGAGAGAGCCTGAACTCCAGCAGGTCTACCCTCTGCAATGACATTGGAGTCCTTTCCATACACCAATTTTAAACTTTCTTCAACTAATTTTGAACTGACTGACATAGAAATAGATTCTCTGAAATTTGAGTTTAAATTTAAATTTTAACTTGAGTTTAGAGTTAAAATCTGAGTTCAAGTTTCCCCTTCAACTCAAGTTCCTAAACTTAAACTCAAATTGAATAATATTTTTTCTATTCTTAAAAACGCTATAACTTTTTCGTTTTAATTCTGATTGAGATGATTCTTTTTTTATGCGTTCACAATGAAAAGACGAATAAAACCCTACTCATATACCCTATTAAAATTTTTCATCATCATTGAGTTTTTATTAAAATACTATCTAAATACAAACTCAAGTTTTGACCCACCCAAACACACTCAAAAAGATTATCATCTCAAACTATAACTCACATGTACACAACCAAACACAAACTCAAAGTACAACTTCAACTCAAATTATAACTTAAATTTAACTCAATATCTACACTTAAGTCACCATAACTAAAAAATGTAAGTGAACAAGCTCTTAATAATTAGCACTTTATGAGTACACTTTTTTAGTTTTGATTTTCGTTCAATTTATTCTTTTATTCTTCAAAATTACAAACATATATTTTATATTTGAAAAATATGTTTGAATTTTTTCTCCACATATTTTTCTAAAACTATTTATGTGCATTCCTACTTTTTTACATTATTTGTGCTGAAAAAATGAAATCGAAACATATCTTTAAAAAAAAAAGCGTGAGAGGATTACTAAATTTACTTTTAAAAATGCAGAAACTTGATTTTTACTATTTTTTTATTAATATTCTTTTAATTAATATTTGACTAAAAGAATTAACCAAGCGTAAAAAATAAAAATTTAGAGTCGTACATGAGGGTATTTATCTTCTTTTCCTAATAAGTTTAATGAGAGGGTGAGAGAATAAAAAGAATAATGTTGCTCAAATTTGAGCAACTGTCAAGATTTGGAAACAACACCAAACAACATGTCGTTTCCGTTTTGAGATATCTACATGGAAAAATTTCATATTGATACTCTATATTTTATTATAATTGTCTTTTAATACTTGTATTTTTAGTAATTTTAAATTAATACCTTAACGTTTTAAAAAATTATTTTTTAGTAACTTAAAGTCATTTTTTAAGATGTAAAATATTAAATTTATCATTCTCATTACTTTATCAAAAACTAATAAATTTAATAATATTATGAAAAAATTATTTTTAATTTAAAGCATTATTTTAATTTTTAATTTTTAAATATTTATAAAATTTTCCAAAATTTTTCTAAATTTATTATTAGTTTTTTAGTTAATTAATTAGAAGAGTAATTTTAACATTTTACATTCTAAAAAATGACCTTAAAATTATAAAAAAATAATTTTTAAAACGTCGAGATACCAATTTAAAATTACTAAAAACAAAAAATATTAAAAGACAATTATACTAAAACACATGGTACCAATATAAAATTTTTCCTATCTAAATTTGCATTAGCCTTTTTGTCCGGCGTACTTAAAAAGACGTTTTCCTTCTCTTGCAAGTGGACAGCCTGAGTTCCGACAGTTTTCAATCTGAGATATCAAAATTGCATATACCTTAAAGTTTGGCATATAGGAAATGTTCACAAACAAATCACTGACAATTTCCTCCGGTTCTTTTTTTCTTTTTTTTTTCTCTAAAATATTCTAATTAACTCCCGGTGAGAAATGAGAAGATATTCGAAAACAGATGTGTGAAAGCCTGTTTTTGCTAGAAGTGATTGCCAACAGAAAATTGACTCTCAGAAATTGACTCCAAAATTGGCACTACAACAAGAGAGTTTTGGCCAAATGCAAAGCATGATGTCAATCTCAGAAAGGAAAGAATAAATGCTCATATCACCAGTTGTAAGAGAAAATGGAACTAGCATTTACAACAGAACATCAAACATAAGTAATTAAGCATAATTGCACAAACATATCGACAAAACACTATATCCAACAAAAAAATGCCTAATCGTTTTATATTGTTAACAAGGCAAAGTCTTGCAACAATTTTCTCGTTGAGTATCAATCAAATATATAAGTCTCCAACCTCAGGAATCCAAAGTCCCGCAACGGCAATCCAAAGTTTTTAGCACCTAATTTCGTATGAACCGGCTTTCGTGATATAGCGAACCCACTCAACTGTGTTGTATCCACTCTTCTCCCACACCTGCAGCAACCGAAAAGTTGAATGCTACATTTCTTTTTTCGATCAATGATATGATATATTAATACTGTTCATCGCTTACCTTGAGAAAACGGACGCGCAAGCCAGATGCAGTAAACATTGGAACCTGTATAAACAACATTAAAACCAGTTAATCATCTTCCTTGAATGAAGAAATGGATGAGATTAATAACTGCTGCGCAACTGAATCATTAACTCAACATGTATCATACAAAACCTGATTCTTATAACGTAAACTAGATAAGCCACTTATAACGTTCTTAGCACTTTTTCAAGACATTTTAGTGATTAAATTTCTGTCATAACCGTAACTATCCAGGATAGGAGCCCAGTCCTCTTTCCTGAGAAGAAGAATCTTCTTAATCTCCCCAGAAAACAGTTGGTTGAATAAACAAGTAATAAGCAACTGGGTAAGCCATGTATCACAAATACAGGGACAATGGGTATTTGATAAACATTCGTGAGTAGTTTGCCAATATATAAACTGATCCACTAATAACTTTCCCTAATTGGCAGGACAACCAATAAGCCTCCCATCTCATTCAGTATCTCAGAATTCTTCCATTATGTGCGATCATGACTTTTTACAGATACAACGGGGGAAAAAAATCCCATCCATTCGCATAAATCATAAATGGTATTGGAGTTAATAACAATCAGGCACCTGAAACTCCATCTGAATTGGTGGCCTTGTCCATGACTTCTTTTCTGCCATTGTGGAAATCAGCTCAACCTCTGCACTCATTGTTGGTTCAGTTTGCCCAGGAAATTTCCTTATCCTAGAAAGTTCCAAGAATATAAGTGAAGTGACAGCTAAGGATACCAAATAGTAGATCAAAAAGAGCAGCACAAAAAATTGAATGAAAGTCACCACTAAGTGGGTGGTGGGTGAGAATGTGTGTGCAACTAAAATACTGTGCATTTACGAGGTGAAAGGAGGGTCCATCAATTTGATGATTGCAGATGATAATTATGTAATATAATAGCAAACACCACTTGTATATTTAAGTTCTAAATCTACTGATTCATCAGCAAGAAACATAAAAATGAAACCATGGGCATAATAAAAGAACTCACTTCCACACTAAGCAATCAATAGCAGCATTATATTTTGCTCGACCGGACGTAACTTGAAAGCTTGTTTTAGCAGTTTGTTTCGGCACTGGAATTTTAATGACGACCCCAAGTGCAAACATTTTGGCCCCAAAGACACTCTTCACCTGAAGATTACTACATATGAATTAATAGAAGAATGAGGAAACAAGAAAATCCAAACACATTAAAAGTACAGTCACAAACCTTCACATTTACTTCCATTCGTGTTCTACCAAGTTCCTTAATAGTAGGCAGCACACGGAAAGGAAGATTCACGCCCTCAGTGATTCGGTACCTATGGGCAAACAAGAATTAGAGGACCAAGTAAACAAAACAAACAAAAATTAAAGGTACTTAGAAACTGAAAATAGGTGACGTCCCATATCATCGTTATGGTAAAAAGGTGAGTTCATAACAAAGTTTCATGAGCTTATTGGAAAGTACAATCACAAATAAGCAGCATCAGGTGATACAAGCAGTGCACATTAGAAGAATTTGAGGCCCCGTTCCAAGAAAAACAACATCAGGCTATGAGAGAGAAAAATCAGAAACAAGCATAATAAATCTCATCTATGAGACTATTAAGTTACATTAGAAAGAAAGAAAAGAATACAATCTAGACAAGGCCCATAGGACTTAATAATGAGTTCCTCGAGCTAATATATATCTTATTCACAGATTTATTTTTCTTTCCATTTTTTAATATATCAAAGCTATACACTCCAAACATTAAGCAGAATTAATTCAGAATGTATAAAAGTAAGAACAGTTTCAAAGGCCATACATTTCCATGCAGACGTGAAATAGAATATAAATAATTGGATGCCATTATTGTCGATTATTAGAGATAATTTAATGAGCTTACTTCATCAATTCAAATTCCCCATCTGGTGGCACAAAACTGACAGTCTTCTCTGAATTAAACCTCGTCAAGTTTACACATTGATGGAAGGTAACATCGTCAAGCTCAATTGTTTTACCGCTGCAAAATAAGTAATTGTCATAATAGTAAAGAAAGAAAATAGGACAGAATCTGACAGAACCCGATAACACCAACTATAATACCAACAAAGTTCATTTTTAGATGGAAATAAAAGGTAGAATCTGGTTTTAGGGAAAAGTGACAAATGTATTGTAATCCTTCAAGCTACGGTCAGAGGCAAACTTAGAAGACAAGAAATATCAAAACCGACTTAACATTGCATTTAGGATATGCATGAAAAATGAAATTGGGAATGAGATGTGGGAAAAAAGAGAGAGAACATGGACAAAAAGCAGGAAGAATGATATATCTATGTGCAATTAGCTTTTATGGCACGTCTAGGAAAGTAACTGATAAGAACCAGAGCCAGGGGCTGCTTGTCTATAGCAGAAAGAAGAAACGCTACGTTAGTAATTAGGCTGATGTGGCTTGTAACTGAATTCGGTTAGTTTGGCATGAGAGTTAGTTTGTTAGCATGAGAGGGTGGGTTGTAAATGGCACTGAGTGGCTTATAAATAAGAGGGGGCTCGAGAGGTTAGGCAGTTTTTGGGAAGTATAGAGTTTTGGAGAGGAGAGTCGGTGATCTCTCAAATATCACCATTGGTAGAGTGATTGATTCCTTGCATTTGAATAAAATTCTCATTCGCCTGTTTGGTTCTCTGCCAATTTGTTGTGGTTTCTATCAGTAACCTATACAATGATATTGGAGAAGCTTCAGCATATAGTATAGCAGTTCTTTACAGATCTCCACCGTGCCCGTCTCAATTAAGAAAGAATTTAGTAGGAACTTTTTACAATATGTAATCAGAGACAACTTCATGTCATTAAGTGGTTATGTTAGACAATCCCATGGACAGTTATGCAAGAAAAAGGAAACAAGTAACACAACCAGCAAACAAAGTTATATCCTATTTTAGCATGTCATGGCATAATGCTAGAATGACGAATTGTTCAAGTTTTTACTTTACAGTGAAAACGACATATTAACTTAAAACAAATGGAAGATAGCCGGTGAAGAAAAAATTGTACACAAATAACAAAAATTGTAATGGGCAAGAAAAGTCTCCAGAATAGCTACCTTTTAGTAGGACGTGATTTCAGTTGCGACTCTTTCTCAAGGCCAATCTTATCATTTAAACCCAACTTTAGATCAGGCATTCCAGAAAGAAAGCACTTCATTAGGATCTTCCCAGTTACATCACAGCGCAGAACACTACCTGTAATGACCAAATTGCTACTAAATAATAAAATAGACGCCCTTCAATCTTCACCCTAAAAACCTTGAACATTTGTTACCCACCTTTTGAAGACATAAGAAGATTTACACTTTCCACGATATCCAAAAAGACCTGCAAGAAGTAAATGTTAAATTCTGGACCTGTGAGCAGAGGCAATATAAGAGACAAGCAAGAAATTTTCAAAATCACCTCATTCTTCTTATAAACAAGGCCCTCTCTCCGCCAACCAACAGCACCCGTAACTTGTAGAGTCGCATTAGGGACAGGCTTATCCGCAGGCTATATATTGTTGGTTTTTTTTTTTTCACAGTTGAAAAGAAATGACAAAGAAATTGATCACACAGTAATGATACAAACTACACAGGAAAAAAAAATCACATCTAAGACCACCTTTCACAAGAATGTCTCCGATAAGAAAGAAAGAAATAAGATAAAACAACATAAATCTCAATTAGATAATGATCTAACCTTAGAAGAGAATGGAGATCGCACTCCTTCCTGAGTGATGTACAGCTTCAAAATTTCTGGAGACAGATTTTGTGGGTAACCGAAATCCATAATTTCTGCAATTAAAAGGTATATATTATGAAACATAGATATACAACTTTGACACTAAATATACTTTTCATATAACATGGTCATGAATGAAAAAGCTGTAGAGAAGTAATATAACTCATACGCACTCCAGAGGCACCAATATGAAAACAGGAACTGCATGATACACATGCAAAAATGGATGCAAAACAACAACAACAACAACAATAACAAATGTTTAATTCACTTTTGTTAGAATCAGGTGCAGCTTTATTTGCAATTAATCATGCAGACAGTTAATCTATTGTTTCCCACTAGTAATTGCTAAGAAGTCTTTAGTCTTGGACATTGGCCGACAACAAGGCTGAACGTTAACATACACCACTCATTCTGTTTGTTCAGCTGATTGCCTTCCACCACTTCATTTAAGGGCATTCTTCTAAAGTCCTTGTATCATCAGCTTCTTTTTGTAGGCCAGCCATATGCTTATATGCATATAATCCAAGATATTCCCATGATAAACATAGAGAAAACATTCATACACAATCCAGAGAAGTAACTATTTGCATGCTTGGGAGAGTTCAGAATCCATTTTTTTTAAAGGTACGTACCATCTAACAGCTCATAAATTAGAACAAAATTATTACGGATTGCATCCTCATCAAAAGCACCACCAAAATAAGATTTGAATAATGCAACCGCCTGCAAGCAAAAAGTCCCAATTTTATTACTGAGAACTTAATAACAAAAAACTGTCCCACAAAGCATATAACATAACATTTTGCCAACCTCAACAACAAACTTGAACGCACAAGCTACATTCGCATTGCTGCTGACAACAATCACAATGTAGACATTGCTTATTCTCATGTAAAAGAAAGAGCATCCGCCTATTTGCCTCACAGGGCAAGTACCAAGCTCTTTGGTTTGCATTATATGGGTCCGAAAAGCATCCACCATATTCCCCCTGAAAATTCACGATGTATTATGCAAAGTGCCAAACAAGTAAAGAAAAAAGAAATCGAGGCTAACGTGTCAACAAATGTAACTCGAAGAGGGAACCCAAAAAAAAAAAAAAAAAGATTTTACAATGACAATTGACAAGTGATAGAATAATACTCTTCTTCCAGCTCATGTACATATATTGCTGAAATAATAACACTGAACTTCTGCACCAACCCTAGGAACTACCATTTTCTACTTATACTAAACCAGGCACTCAATCATTAACAATGTCATCAACTATTCCACCAATAGAAACTCTACAAGAGAAAAAGAAACGAAAGTTCCATTTCTACATTATAAGCTACAAAGATGTCCTTATTCTTTGCATCCCAACACTGAATTCACAAATAGTTTCTTCCAGCTCATGTACATATATTGCTGAAATAATAGCACTGAACTTCTGCACCAACCCTAGGAACTACCATTTTCTACTTATACTAAACCAGGCACTCAATCATTAACAATGTCATCAACTATTCCACCAATAGAAACTCTACAAGAGAAAAAGAAACGAAAGTTCCATTTCTACATTATAAGCTACAAAGATGTCCTTATTCGTTGCACCCCAACACCGAATTCACAAATAGTTTCTGAACACACAAAACCATTTAGTAATGCCCTTTGGCCTTTAATTTAACTAAATTCAACTCATACGGACCAAGACCAACACAGTTCAATTTTACTGGAACACATAGGAAACCAAAATGTGTAAGCTTATCAATTGATTGGAGAAACATGTAAATGAATTAACATTTTGCTCTTCAGCTTCTCATCCTAAATTTTCACACCGATCAATAATAATGCCGTTCAATCTATAACAATCCAAAAAAAAAAAAAAAAAATCACATTTTTTTACCAAAGCAACCAAACACGCATCACTTATACAGCTAAAAGACAACAATACTTCCTTCAATTTAACTTTCCATTTCCATTTCAATAACCTTTTTCTTTTTCCTTATAAATAACCAAATTGAGACAATCCAACACTCAAATCTAAACACCGTAAGACTAATCCAGCCTAATCACTCGAGAACAAACATCAAACGCAGAGATTAAAAGCAAAAAAAAAAAGAAAAAGTATCAAAGCTTTACATTCGCCGCCATTAAGGGGGCAGCGACGAGCTGAAAGAGGAGAGAGAGGATTGAGTGCGTACCCGACATCGTCGCGATATAGACGGTTGATGAGAACATCGCCTCGGAGGTTCAAGAAGTAAATGGCGGAGGCGGCCACCGGCATCGCGGATCCAGCGGAAAGGATCAGACGGCGGAGGTTTCGCGTACCAGATCTAGGGATTCTGATTTCGGAAGCTTTTCCTTGGGATTTGAATATGGATCACCAAAAGTTATACAGGCGTATCGATGTTCTTATGCTTTTTTGGAATTTTCTCTCTTTGGTGCTTTGTCAATGGAGAAAAAGGAATGAATCGAGAGAATGAATTTGGAAGTGGAGCTTCTTCTTTCTTTTATTTTTGTTTGCCTCTCTGTCTTTTGTTGTTTTAATGAAAGTTTGCAATTTTGCAGTCAGCGGAAATAGCTTCTTTTTCCACGTGCGCCTGCCTAGCACGTGTTAAAGCTTAGCAATTATTTTGGACTAAAATTTCGTCCTTTTGATTATAAAAAAAAAAAAAATTTCGTCCTTTCTTTTTTTTGCTTTAAAAGGAAAATTTCATCCTTTCTTGCCCGATTAAATTTTATGGTTCCTTACACACACACACACACACACACACACACACACACACACACACACAAAACTTCTGCATAACTTTAAAAAAAAAAATAAAAAAAAAGTTCAATCCTAAGGTGACAGAAAAAAAGTACTAAAGTAAGCTCATGTAATCTTTTTTCATTTTTTCTTAATGTAAATCTAATCGAACTATTTAAGTGAGATTAATTATCTTTTTTATAAGTTTTTAACGTAAATTCTAATAGAAGGAAATAAACATGATTAACTTAAAATTTATAAGATAAAGTGAGAATTATAAAAATTCATGATCATAAAGTTTATTGGGCAGATGTGAAATTAATTTTAAAAGTGAAAGATTCCTAATTAAATTTTCATTATTAATGCACTTATTAATAATAATTTATCTATTATTATATTATTAATATATTAATTTTTATTTGTTAAATAAGTATTAATTATTAATTACTTAATATATTAATTTAATATTATTAATTATATGTACTCAAAATAAACATAAATGTAACAATATAATTTTATTTTTTTATCATACTTAAATCAATTTCTTAAAAGACCACAACGTAATTTTAAAATCAATTCTAAAATCATTTTTAAAATAATCTTATTTTATTTTTATACTGAAAATAAAATTATTTTAAAAATATTATTAAACGGGCCTTTAATTTTTTGCCAACCAAAGTTTGATCGATTTAAAATGGAGCCGGACCATGACCACTGACCACCTCCATGATACACTCACTACTCAAGGCCTCGTTTTTTAATTTTTAATTTGAGTTGAGATGTGACTTTATATGATAATTTTAAATTGTAATAAAAAAATGATATGTGACTTTTTATGAGAGTTTTTAACTATAACAAAATTTAAATTAAAAACTGTGAAATAAACAACCGCTTCCACGTCAGCATTATCTCCACGCGTCCTTCCACCATAGGCAGTGGGAATTTCCTGGATCTCCTCCGTTACCCGATAATCAACCAAACGAGGCCCCACCCACTCCCACTACACAGTCCCCCAACCGCACGATCAATCACTCTTACAAAATCCAACGGCCACGAGCATATCTATCCTCTCTCCCTCTCCGCTAAAAAATCCGACAAAAACGAACGGCCACAATATCCTCGCAAACCGAAGAGGGACAGAGCGGAAGAAGAAAAGAAAGAAGCTATGAAGAAGACGAAGACCATCCCGTCTCGTTCTCCCGAGAAAATCGCTACTTCTCATTAATCCGATTTCTCGAACGGAAACATCTCTCCTATTTCTCGGTGAGATAAGCATGGAGCTTCCGTTGATGTCTCTGAATCCTTCGACGGCGTCGTTTTCCGGTAGAACCGGGCTGTGCTGGCGGACGAAGAGGCCGAGCATGGCCGACGGGGTTAGGGTTAGGATTCGGTTAAGGCCGGTTAGGGCTTCGGCGGAGCAGAGGAGCGGCGAGGCGATGGAGAGGAGAGGGAGAGAGGGACAGAGCAGAAGAGGATTCACGAGCTCTGCCATGGAGGTCACCACACTGGATAGCTTCAAGGAGACCGAGTTTCCGGTTTGGGATAAGATCGGTGCTGTTGTTAGACTCAGCTATGGAATTGGTGAGTTTTTCTTTCTTAGCCCCCGTTTAAATTTCGAGTTTTACCACAGCTCCCATTACATCTAATTTTTTTTACTATCATAGAAAGTTCTAATATAAAACACACCTCAACTCGAATTAAAAACTCAACAAGTAACGAACTAAAGGACCCTTAGTATGTTTCATTGGAAGTGTGAAAAGGAATTGATTTAGCTGAGGAATTATTTGCGTTTGAATTTCAAAAACAATGAAATTTTGATTCTTTTTTTGCTAGAGAGTTGATAGAGCAACTCTGATGGACTCCGAAATGGAGTCAAGCGCCAAAAAGGCACACGGGATTCGTTCTAACACTGCGCCAAATTCCAACTCCATTTTGGAGTTTCCTAAAGTGCTGCCGTAGATTTGGCGCAGCACTCTAGATATAGCGCAAAGCGTTATTTTTCTTAATTTAATTTTTTTACAGTTTAATAATTAAAAAATGACCCATAAAAATATTTTATTTCTATTTTACCTCAATTGTATATTCTTCATTAAAATTTCTTTCTTTTATATCTTCTTTTATTATTTATTATTTATGTTTAATTTGTATTGTTTTCATTTGATTATTATTCATGTCAACATTTATAAAATGAACTAAACTTAATACGTAATTTGTAATACAAAAAGTAAAATATTAAACTTTAAACATTTAAAATGCAGGCATTAATAAAATTACATAATATTGTAATAAATTTACGCATTAGATAACACTAATATTAAGTAAATCAATTTCGGATCCTCTAATGTCATTAAAATATTGACCAAAAGCGTTAGAGCTTTTATTAGATCCTTCTTAGCATTGTTGTTGAACTCATTTTTGCAAATTTTTAATCTGTTAGTAAAATTTTACTCTCTTATTGAAGTTCACCCAAGATCAGTTTTTTTGACACATTTTGAGCTCGTAGCAATTTTTGATAGTTTTAGTTGAAATTTGTCGATCATTTTTCCTTTTTAATTTTGCTTTCTTCACCCAATGGGTCGTTGAGATGAATCACCACCAATATCTCATTTTTTATGCTGAGAGCAAATGAAGACAATCCTATGTGGGAGTCTCTAAAGTGGGAGTCTCTGATTGTGATGATGCAAAGTTACCGCTTTTCCTTTGGAATGTTGGTTTTGCAGTATTAACGTTATCCTTAAATTTTTCAATATCCTCAAAGATGGCCACACATGATCAAATTTGATCCTTTCTTGTAACTCTTATCTTCCATTGATAATAACTTGGCTCGATTTAACTGCAAATAATATAAATATAATGTTAAAATTAAACAGATATAATATTTCTAACCTAACTGTAACAAATACTCATAGAGCATGTTTGTTTGACCGTATTAGAGCACCGTATTGTATAATAATACAATAATACAATATTTAGTGTGATCATTGTATTATATAAACTAATACGAATGTTAAATTTATACGGTCTATGTCGTATTATTAAATACGGCTCATTTTTGACGTATTGTATTGTATTATTTTATAGTTGATCAATAATTTATGTCGGGGTTGAACACGACTAGAGGTCGGAGTCGGGCCGACATATTGTCATGACGAAATTTATAATTGTTGAAAAAATTTAAGGGACACAATGCAAATTTTATATTTATTAAAAATTACATTTTGGCATATGGTCTTCGGGCGGATGCTAATGATTTGTACATAAGAAATATGGACTATTAGATCACAACTATTCGATGGATTTCATCACTATCTCAACCGTCGAATTAGTTTTCAAAATCTTATTTGCACCTTTTCCAAAGAGTTCAGATAAGAAATCTGGACTATTAGGTCACAACCATTAGATGGATTTCATCCCCATCTCAACCCTCAGATTATTTTTCAAAATCTTATTTTATCTCACCTTTTCGAAAGTGTTCAGATAAGAAATCTGGACTATTAGATCACAATCGTTCGAAGGATTTCATCACCATTTCAACCGTCAGGGTCATTGGCTCAAATAGGCAACAAAATAACCAAATCCATTTGCCACAAGCTGAAAATGAGTTTAAAAAAGAATAAAAAAAAACACTGGCCTTAAGTGAGCTTTGAGAAGAGTATAAAATTTTACTGGGGCCCGTTTGGTTCATGCGTTCAAGTTAGTGATTTTGATTTTGAATTCAAGTTTTGTGAGAAAACCCATTGGCGAGAACTTTTTTAATTCAAATTTTTTGTGAGAGAATAGAATCAAAATCATGGGTTCAAGTCCTGAAACTTTATGGCCCTAAAAGATTTGAACTCCATAACCGATCTGAACCTACGTGAGTATTTTCGAAGTGAACAATCAAGAGTTTTGCAGAAAAGAGCTCAACAACACACCAGGATATCATAATAACTCTAATGCTTTTGGCCAATATTTCAATAATATTTGAGGATCCGGAACTGATCTACTGGACTACTAAATCATTGTTTTAGTTTATGTTGTATTTTGTATTAATATTAATGCTTTGTAATTAGTGTAAATTTTTTAAAATATTTTGTAGTTTTTGTTAATGTCTGTATTTTAAATGTTTGAATTTTAATGTTTATTTTTTCTATTATATACTACATATTAATTTTAATTCATTTATAAATGTCAACATAAATAATAATAAAATTAAAACAATATAAATTAAACAAAATCATTAAGAAATTTTGATGAAGAATATGTAATTAGGGTGAATTAGGAATTCTAAAATCTTTTATGGGTCATTTTTTATTATCAAATCAATGTGTAAACTGGTTTCTGAATTTGTATGACTCATGCTTTTCTGAATTTGTACAATCAGGTATATATGGCGCAATGGCTCTAGCAGGAAAATTTATTTGCTCAATCACTGGAATTGACTGTATGGGAGGTTTTCATCCTTCTTTAGATGCCATTTTAGTAGGCCTCGGATATGCGGCTCCTCCGATTATGGCCCTTCTGTTTATACTAGATGTAAGTTGACCTATGACCCTCTTTAATTGTTTATGTTCTTCTTTTCTTTTCTTTATATATATATATATATATATATATATATATATATATTTTTATATTTTGGCT